CTAATAGCTTCTTGTTACTACTAGTAAGGCACTTGTTACTACTAGCGTGGCACTTGTTCCTAATAGCTTCTTGTTACTACTAGTAAGGCACTTGTTACTACTAGCGTGGCACTTGTTCCTAGTAGCTTCTTGTTACTACTAGTAAGGCACTTGTTACTACTAGCGTGGCACTTGTTCCTAGTAGCTTCTTGTTACTAAAAATCAAAGACCCTTTGCAAGAGTATATGCAAAATATACATGTTTTCTCCTGAGTTTGTGGCAGTGGGTGGTCACCGGAGCATGGTCACAGTCTTAAGTGAAGTTTATCCTAAACTTGAAACACATATTACCCAAAATCCGGTACAGGCTTCTATCCCAGCAGTTTGTTTTTGGTCATTCTTGGTATAATTGAATGCGTAACAATACAACCTTGAGACAGTTTCTTGGATTGGTTTCAGATTGTTCCTTTAATATGCCTCTAACGATTGATTTTGCATTAATCACCAATATCTACTCGAGGAGAAGCAAACATTCCAAATATGTTGTTCCTTCGATTCACTTCAATCACCACAGATTTCACCGAGACCGAGTCATGTTTTACTCCAAGGCCTCCACCGCATCCGCATCACCTTGAGCAGCCGAGATGCCCGGGACACCGAGCAACGGAGAAAGCCGTGGTGAACGGTGTTCAGCTGAGGGGTCGACCGGTGCAGGACAGCCACGCGGGAGCATGTTGAGCATGGAGCAACTCCCAAGAATTGTCTTTGGAGGATTGAAAGGGGTTGCTACACAAAAGACAATTCAATGGACCCTTCAAGCGGCCCTTCTATCAAAAGTGGCATCAGTTACTGTAAATTTGCAGGATGTGTGACACTAAACCTGCGAAAGGGTTGATGTTTGATCCAGCACATCTAACTCAAAACCTGGAGTTGGACTTCTTCATCGAACTGTTTCGAGGAGCGGCTGCAGCGAAACAGCAAAGTCTGGGAGACATAATGAAATCACATGAAACCATCGTGTCATAGCGAAATCAGCCTAAAATTGGTAAATTAGATTAACTTTCCGTTTTGGCAAATCCGACTCCTTGTTCTCAATATGGCTAGAGAGACCTCCGGGGCCAGCTCCGCCATTCCCAGGTGCGTGCACTGGAGAAGGTTTGCACCGATCTGGTCAGTGGAGCTAAGGCCAAGGAGCGACGGGTCCAGTCCCAGGAGGGTAGCTCATCGATCAGGTGCATGGTTTGCTAATGAGTCCCCAAATGTACCAAAGCATTGTTTAAATCATGTTTATGTTCCTTTGAAAAGACCCAGAAGCAGGCACCAAAGCTTCGTTCGAGTTCGTTTTGCCCCGGTGCACGTTGGCCGCAGCGGAGGAGTTGAAGGTGGCCGGGCCAATCCGTCAAGAACCCCCAGCAGGGCGGGAGAGCAGTTTGGGTGGCGGTTGGTTCTCCATTGTGGTGGGCTGGATGGGTTCGTTGATTTGCACGATTTCAACGATTTTGGAAGTTGATTTTGCCAGATGTTGTATTGATTAAGTTTTGTTGGTTACTCTTGAAAACAACAGGAGCGCTCGAGAGTTCATGTATTTGCAATTACTTGTTTGTTTATACTTTGCAAGTTGAAGGCTTCATTTCGTTATATCCAAGGTGCTTTGTCATTTGCTGTTTGTCAGTGTTGGGATCTGCTTTAAATTGTCCACCGACGTAGGAAGCTTTCCAAAGACGGTCCTTGCAGGACATTCCGGCGAGAGAGAATGGGGCGCTAGTGAATGCGTGTCATGTTGACAGATGTTGTCCTGGCAAGCTTGGCCAGAGAGGAAGCACCCTGCAACCTACCACTTGAGAGAATCTGTGACACCTGAGAGTCACACCTGATTTCAGCGCCCAAGCTGCATGACTCATCGTGCGCCTGGGGGGGAGCTATGCAGATGAGATGTGCGAACTCAGCCGACCCATGGCGGCCTCACTGCCGTTGAAAGATCAGAGGACGGTTTCCTAAAGTCCTCCGTCAACGTGACGAGGAGCTAGTCCTGCGTTCCTTCGACAGCAACTGAGGCGAAGATCGTCAGTCGAAGATAGTCAGTCAGTCGACGCCAGTGAAATGGACCATGCACCAGAACGCAGCCATGGAGGTCCCACGCAGCAATTTTGTCCACCTACCTACCGAAAGCCAGGCGGCAACTCCTCAGCAACGGTATCATCTTAAGCCGTTTTGGGGCACCACAAAGTCAGCGCCGGGGGTGGCACGCACAGGAAAAGCCAGACGGGAAGACCCTTTTGAGATTAGTGATTCACTGGGGAGTTTCTGTTCGCAAAGGAAGGATCCAGGGCACACGGGCACGGAGCCTGATTCATTGAGAGAGAGAGATTGGTATTTCGTAGCCAAGCAGTCTGGTCGTCCCAAGGTTCCTGAGTCACTCGTCCGGTCCCGAAGAAACTGAGCACTCTGGGAGCTGTTCCAGATTGTTCAGCAGGAGAAATGAAAGAAATTGAAAGATCTTGTCTTGGTTGAAACTCCCGGACCTCCAGGGAAGTTGTTGCCCAGCTGGTGACTGGATCATCAAGCGAGCCGGACAAACGGAAGATGTCCGTTGTTTGCCAACGCACTGTTTGCAGGTGTTGGCTGGGCTGGGTCCCCATCAGTGGATTCCCGCGCGAAGGGCTAGGTAGACCCTAGGGTCGAGTTTGTCTCGCCTCCTGTTTGGCTTTGGTCGGGTTCGAAACATTGCCACCGTTTGGAGGTAGCTCTTTGGGGTGACTGGCTGAGGCCTTCCAACCAAGATCCTCCGCCTCATGGTACGTAAGTCGCCCTGCGGAGAAGGCGCGGCTGGAGTTGGGACCCGCAAGCGTGGGTGGGTGTTGTGCTGATGCTTGGAATCCACTTCAAACGACGCCTGGATGTACAGCTGTTAGGAAGTGGAGATTTGTTGGAAGGGTGTCTCACCATCAAGAGAGCCAAAGCAGCTCTTTGCATTTCCCAGGTCCTGGCTCCTGATTCCGGATCAGAGTGCCCTCAGTTGACTTCACCACACCTCATTCAATCAAGATATCAAGGAATCCTTGATGTTAGAACAACTGATTGATATCATTGATATGAGGTTTGCTGAATCATGCATCCTCGTCTCAAGATGATGAGGTCTCCACTATACGTCACACCGATCCCTGACGGAACGTTCAACAGTCGCACTGCGACTGGCAGGTTCAATCATCCCAAATTGCCAAGTGATGGTCATGTTCATTGTTCATGTTCAAATGTCCCAAAATCAAGGGCTTCGCAACTCGCAACCGTGGACGAACCGCGGCGAGAAATCGCCGAAGGGTCTGAAGGATCGAAGAAGCGTGGAACGACTCCGAACGACATGGGCCATGTCGATGAGAGACTTGAGCGACTTGCTTCGATGGAATTTGGTGCGCTCTAACTCACTATGGAAGTCACCCCTCTCTTTATCTCTTGGAAATTCCAATAAGTTCTGTGTATCCTCCTTGAATATAGATGCATAATGATGCATATATAGGTGCTATGCTATCCACGTCTATCACAGGTTGCATGTGGTGTGACCTTGTAATCCCTCACGCTCAGTGGCCTGCCATTCCCCAGCAGCTGCGGCGGCTCTGAGGTTCAACTTTGGAGCCGGTCTACAAGATACAAAGTTATCATGAAGCATAAAGTAGGCGATTTGGATACACACATTCCTATCAACCAGATGTCGTGATACAGAATGCCTGCCTGCAGGTTCTCTTGTAGCATGACACTATGACATACAAGCGTTCTACGACTTCTGCTTTGCGGATGCTCTTACTTACTGTATATACATGGATTGATAGGTCATTATCAACTAGTCCTGCAGTTTGGGATCACCAGTCTCCATGTACTTCGATTCATGCACTCGCACCATGAAGCATTACAATGAGTTAAACAAACTTGAACCGTCCTCTTGGCACAAAAACGATTTCAGCCATCCACTGTTGAAAGATTCAGAAGGCAGGGGCATTTTTCATGTGTCCCTTCTCGGAATGCGCCACCGTCCCCGCGCCGGGACATGGCAGCCGCTCACGGCAGCGCCGCCCACGGCAGCGCCGCTACATGGCGTCGGATGGGCTTTGACCATGACGCCCCGAGCGGACGATTTCGAGTCGCACGGGAATGGCAAGGACACTCGAGCGGACTCGGAAGGACACTCGATTGAACTGGTTTGGGGTGAAAGGTACGAATGGTCGGTCTATGTCATGTCCAATCAATCTACAGATGGGTATTCGCCTACACAAGGTTTTTGAGTCAGAGGCTTTGAGGTAAACGTAGTAAATACCTCAGCGGGAAGAGCGTTTGTTCTTCTGCCAAGGCTCAAGATAAGTCCATACACCTGTGGGAAATGTACTTCCACAACGAAAAACAACGTGAGGCGGACTTCAAAAAGCATGTAGAATGTAAATTGTGTTCAACCAAACAGCTTGTGGAGAAACCGGACCCAAGGGGGAGTTGGATGGATTCTAGAGGACGACGGGCGTCTAGCGTCGTGCCGATGCGCCCATCAACGGGTCGGTTTTGGATGCATTTGGCCGGTGGTTGTAGCGTTGCATGGATGACTGGGCACAGTGGGAGGGAATCTCCAGAAAATAGATTGAATTGGATATATATATATATATACATATAGATAGAAATATATATATATATTATATATAGATTATCAACTTCGATTGACAAAATCATTGTTGTTGGGGCATGTCAGGGCAACTAAATCATATGTTTTGTCGTAGTGACTCATAGCTCATCATTGTTCCACCCTAATTAGTGCAGAATCAATGGTTCTAATGAGGAAGCAACCCTCTGGATGCCAGTGGTATTGTGTCCAGTAGGAATCCATTGCCAAATAGATAGACCAGGTAACCCTCCCTAATAGAAAAAGATCATTGGCACCGTATGACATTGTGAACCAATCTATTTCTCGTATTTGACGTCGGATTCATCAAGGGTGTGCGTGTGTGCTACTATGAAAGTGCCGCTGCCTAGGACAGTTTTAGTTAAAATAATAGGTACCTATCTAGTCCAATTTTGTGTGCCAATCGTTTTGAACCACAATGGACCATAAGCCAGACATCGCACCCTGCTCTGAGGCCCAACGCTATCCTTTGCCCTGGCTCATCCACTGTAAGAAAGCCAACCTGTCCTGCCTCCCCAGCACCATTGGCTGTTTGAGAAGATTGATGAGTTCTTCGAGTGACAGGCGAAACGTTGAATGTTTCGAGGGGATCGATGGCGACGACCATGCTTGGTGGAGCGATGGTGTGGAGTGAAAGCAAAAAATAGGCGTTCATATTCTGCGATTGGCAAAGGCATTGACCCCAGAACCGACTGAAAGAGCTTTCTCATGCTTTTTCTCCGCACAGTATTCCTTTGGTTCCATTGACCTGAGGACCAAGAGTCAGAAGAAACCAATTTTGAGGGTTTCTGCTCTATACGCGACATGTGATTTTCTGGCGAAGGCTTGCTTGCACAGGAGCCGGACGGTGTTAGTGTTTGCCCCTGCGTTGAACTCTGAATTGTGCCCAGAGGGGCGTAACCCGTGGGTGATAAAGACTTTATCCAAGACCACGCTCCAGTAAGCAGAAAAGACTGCCTACCTACTGGTCATCGGTGACTATAGTTTTTGTTCATCCCCCGCCAGGCAGGATGCGACGCCACGGATCAATATTTGTTTCAAGAAGAAGCTGAAGATAATGGACCATGGTTGGGTGCACCGCTGTCTCCTGCTTGGTGGCAGGTGAATCCATCTGACTATAATCAGACACCCACCCAGCCGGGCTGGAACCGATCAACCTCCCAGGACCCTTACATCCACCAATTGCAGTGATGTTGATCCCAGGACCCCCCCGCTCTGGTCGCAATCCTCAAACCTTTGGGCTCGACGGAAGCTCTGGTGTTGTGGCCAGTGCATCCTTCACTTGTAGCCGGCTTCGTCAGGCTTTGCCTGAAGGACTCAGTGAGCGGTGCGGCATCGCCTGTGGCGGTGGCGACCAGGTTGATCCTCCAGAAGTGTCGCCTGGCAGGATGGAGGCGAGCAGAAGGAAAAAAAGATAACAGTAATGATAATGACTGCAAGACTATTTGCATACGTGCTTATGATGCTGCTTATGTGTTTATTTGATGAGTCTTGTGGTTCAGTTGTGCAAGTTGTGTAGGAAGGATTTTTCTTGAACATGCATCTAATTAGAGATGTTTGTTTTGAAATAGAGTTTGTTTGGGTTGTGTTTTGACTTGGATACCACACCGTCTCTCCATTGTAAGTCTCTCGGCCTCGAGGTCAACGACCACCACGCTGGGCCTTGGCCCTCCATTACCTGGATGAAGTGCCGCTGGGCACTGTGAACTAAATCAAGATATTTTTTATTACATATACATATATATATATGTGTGTATTATTTGACATGTTAAATTAAGCTGCGGTTAGATGTGGTGAATGTGCCAAGGAAAATCTATGGTTCGGTCCTACAATGAATGTTGGTTCTTTTGAATCTTGAAGTTCTCGGTTCTCATGGCACAACCTGCACACCGGCATCCATTTGGGGGAACCAAACCGGGTCGGTCACGCCATATCACGACGACGGGAGCGTCCTTCTGCTGTCCAACTGTGAGGTCAGAGGTCTTGGTGCCGGACGTGGTGTGCTTCAGCGCGGTCATCGGAATTTGCTCTAAGGCCACGGTCTGGCCAGCGGGACTTCAAGTGTTGCAGCAGATGCAGAAGGCAGATCACGGATGGGGCAATGGACGTGTGGAGTGTTGTGCTCGAAGAGTTGGGGAGGCCACAAAGAAATCCAAACAAATAGAGAACCTATATATATAGCCTATAGTATAGTCACTTACCCTTTAAGTCCAGAGTTTAGTTATAGATATGCAATGTATACATTTATAGCCTGACGTGTTTTCATGTTTCTATGTGTTGCTTTCAACGTTTCGGAACAATCTCAAACCACCTCGGGTGACGTTTTGTTTAGTTTATTTCTTGGGATACCATGAGTGAATTCGTCACAGTTTGTCTCAAGATGAGGCACCTCCCATCCGGCGGGCAAAGTACTGATCTTTGAACCAATTCTGGGGCGTGCCGAGCAAATGAAGGTGATTACCATTCACCAATAATGCTTTCAGAAGGAACCAAAGGTGGGTCCCAAGTCTTTCAAGTCCCCGCTTTTCAAGACTAGGTGCAAGTAGCTCCCAACCTCATCACCTACAACTCCCTCGTGGCAGCTAGCAGCCGGGCCACCCAGTGGCACTTGGCCTTTCGTCTGATCGACGAGATGAAGCTACAACTCCTACAGCCAGACGCTTGGAGTTGGACAGATAGTCCGACCAATCCAGACATGTGAGGGACACAGGAAAGCAATATGTTATACATACACATAGGCCGGTGGCATGTCTCAAAAGGGTGTTGGTACAGACATCAGGAATTTGCTGGAGAGGTGGATCAATACACTAGTTGATGGACACAAAACATATACACATATTGTGCCACAGCAGCATTCCTTGAGATACGAAAGGCCCTGTAGATGCCGTAGACATAGAGAAAGCCACTCTCCACTCAAAACTGTAGCTCGAAAATCAGGTGCCCCATGCTGCTCCCAACTTTCCAAAATGAAACACATGACCGTGACACATGGGGGTTCCTTGGTTTTAGATCTCCAATATTCGAGACCTCAGGCCCAGGCTGTTTTTTGCAATGCGTCACACGCGGCTGGTCCCATGGTGTAAGGGTTAGCACTTGGGACTCTGAATGCACGGATCTGACCGTTTTTGTTCGCACCTTGTTACTAATAGCTTCTTGTTACTACTAGTAAGGCACTTGTTACTACTAGCGTGGCACCTTGTTACTAGCCTTCCAAGGACCAGGTGACCTACAACACCTCCCTGGTGGCGCTGCGTCGTGCCGGCCTCGCACGACAGGCGCTGCGCGTCCGGCCGTGGAGTGACCAGGCACATGCGGATGCATATACCTACTGTGCCGCGGCTCTACTTCGGAATTTTGGATTGGACTGTTCCAGTGGATGGAAGCTATCGGAAGATGGAAGGTTGTGATACTAGGAATGTTGTTCAAAGTTGTTTGATTGCCACAAGTGTGCCCAAAAAGATAGTTCGATCTTTTTGGGGAGGCGGTCTTTTCTTCCACCACAGGGGTCACCAATGCAAGGTGTGTGGTAGATCCCAATCAGGCATTTTTATATACATATGTTCACCCTCATCCTCCAGCCTCGGTTCGGGAGCGACAAAAGGACACGAGTCACGAGGAACCTGCAAGAATCAGTTCCATGTCCTTTGGGGCTACATGCTTGATTACCACCGGTGCACAAGGACCTGCCTGGCAACATGTTTGGACATCTAGGGCTGATCTTTTGCAGGGCACAATGGGGCCCAGTTTTTTTGTCCATATCAAAAACATGTAAAATAATCGAACCTCCACAGTCACTTTCAGAGTAGAAGAACTCAAGAGGTGGATGAAGATGGATCTGAAGAACTGATTTGATAATCTTTGTGCCTCTTGCGCTTTCTACTGAGAAACTTATCAGGACAGAAGGGGCAAGGGGACGCGTTGGACCCCTAGACGCGGACACTTCTGGGAGAGGTTTGAGGGAAATCGAGTGGGATTTGAGAAACCACTGCATCCCACTCCTTGACCAGCTCTGCTCGCATCACATCGTCGCTTGCTGAGGTGCTTGGATAAGTGCCTGCAGTAAGACGACACAGTGGGCCAAAGCGCTGAATCTGGTGGAGGATGCCCAAAAGCGAGAGCTACATCTCAACAAATATGCCACTCGGTCGGTTCATAGACTACAGAGTTTGATTGGGTCGATGGGATGGATAGTTGGAATGGCGACCCCCAGCCAGACCAATAGTAGGAGGGCCAAGCTGACCCGTAATTGGTCCATCGACCCTGAATTGAACAGATACTGCTGGTAATATCCAGCACAACCTGCAGTGGTAGGTATTTGACGCTTCTCAGAATTTGAGGAATCCCATCATTTGGTGGAGAATTGTCAAGAGTTCTGTTGAATTGTCAGCAACTGCCCGGATTCTGTCCCTCGTTCAATCTCAAGTACGCAAAGCAACGCAGGGATTGCTGCGCTCCCTTGTTCCCTTGCTTTGTGGGATCGCTGTTTGACTGCCGCATCCGATGTTCCTGAGTCCCGGACGAAGGTCTTGAGCGCTGCCATTGCTGCCTGTGGGCGTGGCTTGCAGCCGCGCCACTTGGAGCAAGGAGCGTGTAACTGGACGTATAGGGCAACCATTAAGAAAAAGTCAGAAGTTAAGAGTGGCCCTTCGCGGTGGTGCAGTGACTAGACATAGAGGCTTGTATAGGTGTTATTTTTTTTGCATACTTTATACCTCTTCCTGGTCCTAGATAAGCTTGTGATTGGGCGGAGCCCCCGCTGAAAAAATCCAGAGATGAAGCCTTGCACCTTCACGTGAGAAGCATAGATACAAATGACACATAAAGACCATGCATAAGTACATATCAGACCAGATCAGTATCAGGTGGAAGCACCTATGCGCTGGTGCGAGGCTCCGCCCACCGAGGCCAAGCCCTTCAGCTTTTGCTCTCGGATGCGACTGCCAGTGGCTTTGCTGGTTGGTCCTTGGGGGGAACATCATGGACCCCCCCTATTCAGATGACCGCATGCCGTCACATGCCCATATACATCCCCGTTCCTTTACCAAATTGAGGCTTTCCCATGGTTTTCGCTTCGCAGGTCGAGGAGTGGAGTGGACGGACGGAAGGGGGTAAAGATGGGTAAAGGGATGACCCTTTCACGTCAGTTTGTTCATGTTGAAACCAAAACGATCGGCCTCCCATTACGTTGTGATTGCGGCCTCCCATTGACCAATAATCTGGTCCACCTAATAAAAAACACGAGGCCCCCCCCCCAATAAGGAAACCTCGGTCGCATTTTTTAAAATAGGGGGTCCCTGAAATCGGGGGCCCAAAATAGGGTCACCTGGGAAGAGCTTCAAAACCAAAAAGTAAATCAGTAAAATTTTATATAAAATCCATTATTAAACTCGTATCAAAAATGCAAAAAAGCTCCAGATCTTCCTTTTCCCTACAAAAACCTTCATTAGAATAGTGATTCTTCAGTAGACTAACAGCTAAAGCTTTCGAAAGGTGATGTCGCTGTGCCATGCGGTGTTGCATGACCTCGGTGGCAAGTGCGTTTGCGTGAGTCCGTGCCATTGGGGGAAGGAAAGCCTGCTGGTGTAAGCGCGGCGTGTCATGGTGGATAGGAGGGTGGACAGAGGTGGGCAGTTACGGTTGTTTTTGGAGCCTAATTAAAAAAACTCCTCCAAAGTCGGCAATGTTGGTAGTTTAGTAGCGGCTTGAAAGGGCGGCAACTTAAAAACAAATATAAACCGTATTTAGGGGTTTCCGACATGACTTTTTTCTAATAAGGGTCCGTTTTTTAATAGGTACTCGGGATTAGTGGATGTGGGATTGACTACAGCCCCCGCCAGAACTCCTGGACTCAAATGCCCTGGCAAAGCCTGATATAGATCATCATTTGGGAGTTGAGCCAAGAGTCTTGAGGGGGTCTATCATGGCTCAGGATGATTGCAGGCACGGTGGACTTATTTGGTGCCTAAACGGCCCAACTCAAGCGAGGAACGTTACTTCGCCATACCAGTACTGTCTTAGATGCCTCCCCGACTCGGAAAGCCAGAATGGAATGGAAAAAACTGTCTTGGATGCATCATGTATTCTATATAACTCGCCATAACAGACTGGCCCCCAGGGCATTTCTTGATTTTTCTATGTAGACCATAGTGACCATAGACCTTTTTTTTATTTGGATCTCTCCCTTTCTTGGGACGCGGTCGCATCCCACCCGATGCGATCCCACCGTTTCCGTGTCGCTCCGAGGCGCGACGAACGTGAGCCGCGACACCGTGAGCCGCGACGCGGCCGTGAAGGCCTGTGCCGACGGACTCCTTTGGGCCGAGGCCGTAAGCTTGTTGACGTCCGGGGGTGGTCCGCGCGCAGGCGCGGCGGGTTGGCGGTGGACGTGGAGGGCGCTAAGGGGGAGGTGGGGGGACCGGCAGCTGGGTGTGAGTGGTTGTAAGGGAAGATGGGAGGAGGAGGCCTTCTTCCAAAGGAGGAGGTGGCTCGGCTTTAGTGGGTTGGTTTTTCTTGATGTTTCAAATTCGCGAGAATTAGTCTTAGTTGACTCATAAATAGCCTTCTGGGAAAGATCATTTGCGGTCCCTTGTTTCCGTTTTTTTCGGGTTTTTGTTCTCACCTCAATGCCCTGAACCCATCAGGTGTCCAGAGCTTCTTGAGCGCTGCCTGGGCAATTTCGAGCGCTTCCACCTCCGAACACTTAAGCTTCAAGGTGATGATGGCTGCACAGGAGCTGCTCAGCTGCGGGTTCCCTTCGTGCCGGCATCGACGGCGATGGACGTACTGACCTATCATGGCCATCGTGTTTTTGTTTTATTTTTTTTACAGAATGGGGCGAATTGGGGGGTGGAGTGGTATACATTGTAGAAACGTGCACTTTTGGTGCAAGCAGCTTAGCAGCTAATCAACAGCTTGCAAATCACTTTGATTATTGGATCATAATTTTATCATCATTTGAATGCAGCAGAAACAATGCCACCCCCTCCCCAAAATCAAGAAAGGATGGACAAAAGCAACAAATACATTTGACATCTTTTGACAAAAATCATATCACTATTCTGATACTCGTTGCTGCCACCCACCCAGAAACTTCTGGAGTGTTGTTTCATTGTTGTTTCTTAGAGTGTTTTTTTTTGGTCTTTTGCTTTGTTTTCTCAGACTCTTGGATATCCCCCCAATATACCTATTTATTTGTTCCTATTGGTTTCCTGTTAAATTCCTATTAGATTCCTACTGTTGATTCTTGTGGGCCCTTGTGCAAACCTTTTGTCAAAGGATTTAAATTCCTTTGACTACAATTGATTTCCTGTTCAAATTCCTTTTGGTTCTTAATGAGTCCATTCTTCTGGCATCTGAGCATTTGATACATAATGACATAATGCAGGCAACCTATCATTTGCATCTATGCTTCTAGCTGCTTCTGGCATCTTAACATCCGTTACGTAATGCAAGGAAGTCAAGAATCAAATCACCCCAGAACTCCCCAAAAGCCATTTCACAACTCCACCGCCCATGGCGCCCCGCTGGGCTCAAGACCCATATTTGGTCCTTCAAGGTCAAAGAGATCGCTCACATTGCATCACTTTACTGTGTGGGATCGCTACCATCGTAGACTTCAATCACTAGAATTGATTTTCTCAACGACCCTTTTGTTTAAACAGTTTGACACGATGATCACGAGGCCTGGACCTTTTGTTGGGTGATGAAGTTTTTGAAGTGCGCGGCTTACATACTAATTTGTTTGTTTTTTACCTCCCCGGCAGAGGCGTGTGGCAAAATGTATGTCAACATCGCACTTGTAAACTTTGAGTCCAATGTTACACAACGATCAAAGGAACATAAAAAATAAAATCTAGCTTGTAAACTTGTAACCATAGAATAGCCGCCTATGTTTGAGGCTTATTTTTTGGAGTTGTATAAGTGCTGACACAATCAAAGTCTTCAAAACCAGTCCTAGATCCTTCATTGTGTTGCTTGTTTTCCGTACACTATACTGGCTTTGTTTTCCTGACTTGTTCCTTCTTGCTTTCCTACCTGTCGTGTGTCCCTCTTCTCAAGTGTTCATTATTTTGATGACACGGTCCAAATGTAAGCACCAAGGCTCTAAGCGGCTCAACGCCTACATAGTGATGTTTTGACTGACTATCCAAAATAGTATACCCAGCAAGCTAGTTTCTAGGCCAAACTTCAACCAACCTGTGTTTCACTTGTCCACAGGTACACTTGGTCGCTTTTGGCTCTCCCATTGGTCCCGGTCACTGTTTCCCACCCGTCAGCTCAGGAAGGCCAGTCGTCAGCTCTTGCAGAATCCCTTGTCACCGGGCGCCTGGCACGATGCCGTGCTGGTGCGCCGAGTGGGTCGGCCGGTACGCGCAACCACCCGCTTCGTGCGACGGGGCGGTACGCGTTGAGATTGGCATGTTGTTGGTTCTTACCTGTGTTTGACAAGGCGAGAATGATCCTTTGACAGTGGTTGCCACGTCCCAAACCTCACAACTTTGGCCTTCCAAAAGCCTTGTAGCATGCAGAAGAACTCCCGGCCAAAATCACGGAGAGTTCATACCCCGCTAGGCGGAGTCTTTGATCCACCTCCTCCGCAGTGAGACTCCGTCTTTGGTGCGCGTGGCCACGAAGCGGGGCCAGCTGTTGCGGCGACTCAGCTGGACTCGAAACACCGTGTGTGAATCAAATTGTGTGTTTGTAGTCACAGTTAAATTTGTTATAAGTGTTCGTTTTTCATGTTTTTAGACATTCATTTGAAGGAGTGGCACTTGAGAAGTGATTCAGTGTACCTGCGGCAGGCCGTGCGGGCCGCGCCGTGCGGGAAACACCTGGAGACGTTTGCATTCCACAAATGAAGAAGGTGATCTTAAGTCCCGGGTTCTTCACCTCAATCGGATTGATCTTTTTGCAGTCTCGACCCACGTTTGATGGGGACAGCAAAGAGGGTCTTGCTTTCGAGCATGGCGTGACCATTGAGACAGTTTCTCAGTCAGATGAGCAAAGGGCTTGTCGTTGCTTTCTGTGAGAAATGACGCTGCTCAACGTCCTCACGTACTCAGGTTGCTGAGAGGCTATGTGACCTCACCCGTGGTGGCACAGCTGGCTACTGGCACCTGGACAGAAGACAAACGCGATCCCATTCGTAGTGAACGCGCCAGAGAAATTCGGATGTGTGGGTTTGGTACACCACTTGCAGCTGTCGGCAATCGGCAATGACCGTTGAATTTGTGGCGGATGATATGAGAACTCCACGCACCAATGGGATCCACATTATTGTGTACCTTCCTGGAGCAAGCTGTCATATGAATGTTCGTCCAACTGCTTGAAGCAGACTCGATGAAAACACCAACGCCAGTTCCAGTTCCTATGTATTCTTTGGTAAAGGGCACCTTCTTGTTGACCTGATTGACTGCATTGAATGGACCAGCCCGGAATTCTCTTTCAGGGGATCGATGTTCAATGCGCTACTGGTCCCCTCCCCCTTGTGATGACAAGCTCACCCTTCTCGGGGACTACCAAATGATCAGATTCATGTAGATGCAGCAGTTCAACACAAAATCCTTACTTTGAGGGCCTTGTGGACGTGTTATATAATGAATATGCAAGGGTTTGCCCTAAATCCAGGACCCACAGAAAACCCAGAAGCTTTCCAAATCCGCTCGTGCTGTGAGTATGCGAAGTCGTTCCCTAAGAAACCGGCATTCACCAAGTCAGTTAAACATGTTTGAACATATGTCATCATGCTTTGTATTCAGGAACATTGACTGTGGACCTGTGCTAGCAGTCTTTGACCCCAGATATCCTGAAAGTCGACAATGTCAAAGCAAAAAAGGAGCATTGACGGGGGAGACTAGCTGGCTTTCCAAGGAGTCCGAATTAAAGACTTTGGGACGCAGTGAAGTAGCCTAGATTCGAGTGGTTCCATTCGTGTGACCTCCGCTGCGCTGCGCTTGAGGTCGCGAAGTTCGGGAAGGCGGCCACTTGAGATCGGACTTGCTGGAAGAGCAATACACCTTTGGCGGGCTTTGTCACTTCCATTGAACTGGGGATGGTTGAAGAAAAAGGAGTTCTTCCGAAAAACTCATTCCAGGAGTTCCATGTCGGGGTGGTGTCCATAGAGTCTAGACCTGTATTGAGTGTGCAGTTCAGCTGCTTTTGCAACAAAGAACGCTCCAATCCCTGTTTGAGAGTACCGCGTGGCGCGTGGTGACCCTTTTGGAGAACTCAGGAGGAAATGACCAACCACAACACATCACACAGGTTCGACCTAATCAGAGACAAAGCTTTATATAACTTTTTTGCTGACGATTCTTCCCACTTCAAAGGCACAGGTGGGAAAAGGTGAATCTGTGTTTTCCAGTGACACTGAAGGGTTCAGACCGGGTCGGAGGTCAAAAAAGTGATCACCGAAACATATGTCGCAACCTGGTTCCAGGACTCGTCCGAATTGATTACTCTTTTCCAGGAAGATTCCCAGGTGTCATTTGATTCTTATTGCTACTAGTAGCGCTCTTGCTCCTAGTAGTAAGGCCAGGAGCCTCTAGTAGCGTTCTTGCT